GGATCAGGCTAGGCCAGCCCAACGGTCTACTTGACCCATGAACAAGTCTATTTGTGAGTGTGGGTCAATAAGATTGGCTAGATGAAATCTTTTTAGATGAATAGGCAAACATGGGTATTTTTTGTTGAAATTTTGGCAAGGTGGGATTTTTGGACATTCTGAGTTGATTGGCCGAGAGGATATGCTTAGGCCCAAGCCCAAACCTAGCCTGACCATCGGGCCTAGGTTTTAAGCCTAAGCCTGGCCCTATTGGGCCCAACTAGAAATTTAGAAAAAAATATATTTTTTCCTTTTTTATTCAATTAAAACTATTTTATTTATATTAAAAGATGCTCAAAACCTAAAAAATTAATGAAAGATCTCACTATTACTTTAAAAAAGAGAAGAAAAATAAAGAAAAAATATATCATATTTATTTTTTATTATATAATACATTCTGAAGTCGGGCTGGGCTTTTTTGAGAAAGCCCAAAACAATGGACCTAAAATCCTATCCAAGCCCAACTTGGATCAGGCTAGGCCAGCCCAACGGTTTACTCGACCCATGAACAGGTCTATTTGTAAGTGTGGGTCAATAAGATTGGCTAGATGAAATCTTTTTAGATGAATAGGCAAACATGGGTATTTTTTGTTGAAATTTTGGCAAGGTGGAATTTTTGGGCATTCTGAGTTGATTGGTAGCATTAGATTGGCCCAACTTGGCCCAGATCAGGCTGACCAAAAGGGTTAGTGATTTATTCAATCAAAAGCTTTGAAACAAAATCTTTTTAGATTGAAGGGCAAATGAAGGTAGTTTTAGGTGAAATTTTATAGGTGTGTATTTTAGAGTGCTTGGGATCTAGTGGTGATGTTTGATTAGTTCTGGAGGGTGAAGATCATAGGAATTTAGGTCAATGAAAAGGTTTATAATGGAATCTTGTCTTGATGAAGGGTTAAATGGGGGTCTTGGGTTAAAACTTTGTGGATAGGTATCTTGGTATGCATGGGTTTCAATTGTGTGGTTTGATTGGTTCAGATGTGTTAGGATCAAGGGGATTTGGTTTGTGGTTGTTTAGGCCAATAAGATGGTTTGAAATGGAATCTTTGCTTGATAAAAGAGTAAACAGAGGAATTTTGAGTTGGGATTTTTTTTGGGTAAGCATTTTGGCAGGTCTTGAGTCCGATGGTGGTGTCTAATCTAATGGTCAAAGTGTAGATGGGGGTTGATCATGGCCATCAGATTGATATCAAGTAGATTTAACTGTGAATTTAAGGGCTTTGGGGCTTTTTGTGTATTTAGATGTTTTGGAGAGATTGAAAGAGTTTGATTGGGTCTTCAGAGTGAATCGGGGGTTTAACGGTGGATTGAGAAAAAATCGAGTACTGACACTCCTTTTGATAGATTTACTAATTCCCAAGTATGGTTTGATAAGATAGATTCTAGTTCACCGTTAATTGCCTCTTTCCAAAAGGCTGCATTAGATGAGGTAATGGCATCGTTATAGGTTTTAGGATGTTCATCAACCATGTATGTGAACACATCATCACCAAAGTTAGTTTCTTTTCTTGCTCTTTACCTTTTTTAAGATCAAAATCCAACTCAGAATTATTATCAGGTACTTGGGTGTTAGGACTTTTCGATATTTTGTTAATTATACTTTCTATGTTAGTTTCATCCCTTTTATGAGGAAAGATGGTTTCAAAAAAAATATATATTAAGACTCTAAGATAGTGTTAGGCTCTACAATATCGCCTTTAGACTTTAACATTAGAAACTTGTAGGCCAAGGTTCAAAATATCAATACAGGATATCAATCGCCGACCCAAAACACCCCATGTTGGGACGTATCGGGAAGGCTCCAATACAGGCCGATGCATGACAAAATTTTGATCCTTGTTGTAGGCTGCACTATTTTGTGCATATCCAATAAATGTACAGTCTACAATTCTTGGTTCAAATTTCCTCTTTTTAGGTTCATGGATTCCAACTTTTGGTAAGCACCCCACACTATAAGAAATTTTAAATTTGGTTTATAACCCTTCCAGAGTTCTTAGGGTGTTAACACAATTTTCTTATGTAGAATTTTTTTTCGTAGAAAGCGTGCAGTTATTATGGCTTCCCCTCACATATTTTGAGGAAGACCAAAGCTTATTAGCAATAAAATCCTATTTTTCCTTTCTGCAACTCTATTTGATTTAGGAGAATAGGGAGTAGCGATTTCATATATTATTCTTGTATTTTCACAAAGTTTCTTGAGGGATAATGAATCATATTCTCCTCCCCTATCAATTGCGAGTCTTTTAATTTTCTTGCTTAATTGTAATTTAACTTCATTTTTGTACTTGTAAAACATTTCTTCAGTTTCATCTTTACTTCTAAGAAGATATATTTTAGTAAACCTAAAAAAGTCATCAACAAAGTCAAAAATAGTCCTATTTTCTTCATTTTCTTTAAGTATGGAACACTAATATGTCAGTGAACAATATAAGAAGTAAAAGCATTTTCATTCATGATTTCATACACATTCAGAACAAACAAACCATAACTGTAATGACCCTTCTTGGCAAATGCCCCATTTATGTTGAGTATAAGTTTATCGGACTCAAATGAGAGTTTTACTCTAACCTTATTGAGTAGGGAACCTGAAATCAGGTTGCTCTAGATGTTGGGAATATAAAGGACATCATAAAGGGATATATCTTCCCAAAAGTCACTTTTAAGAGAACCTTTCATTTGCCAATAACGGGAGTGGGGCTAGAGTCGCACAAGAAAACCTGCTCACCTTCCCTAATGGGAGTACAAGATTGGAAACAACTTCAGTTTTTGCAACTGTGTATTGTAGCCCCTGTATCCAAAATCCATTCCTTAGAAGTTGTTACCATATTAACCCCAGAAACAACCACTAAAGCCACGACATTTGATTCAGTCAAATTAATTGAATTTTTGTTATTGTTGCCATTGCCCAATTCTTCTTGTTAAGTTTGCATTGTAGAGCCCAATGTCCTTGATTCCCACATTTGTGATAGGCACCTTTATTCTTAAAGTTGGGGTTGAAGTTTTTCTTGAATTTCTTGCCTTGGTAGTGATGTTCTCTATTTCCCCTTCAGTCCTTTCATGTAAGGAGCTTTTCAATGAGATCCCCCAATAACAAATTGCTCTTGGAGTGTGATGCCTTCATTTTGCGGATCATTTATAATCAAATAGTAATCATGAATTTGTGATAAGACAGACCTCTCCTCAGTCATGGCAAAGGATAGGAGTTGCTAATGACATACTTTTGTCCCCAACATCCTCAATAATATATTTAGGTTTAAGAGCATTCCAAATTTCAGCAATAGTGGGGTACAAATGATAAACGTCAAACAAGTAGTTGGTCATAGCATTCAACGGTGCATGGTGACAGATTTTATCAATGAGAATCTAGGTTTGAGTGTGTGAAGATTTAGCAAGTCCATATTGGTTTTCTGGTGGTGAATCATCAAGTACGTAAGCAATTTTAGTAGCATCCATGTCAACATACGGAGCAAACAGAGAGAGAAAAGCAATTCTGCTTAAGCCTTAAGGTGCAAAGTGTGAATGAGGATGCTACTGTGAGTGTGTAAAAGATAGAAAAGTAAATGGAGAGTTAGAATGACTTATCGGATGCGGCGTGTTTGAAACACTGTCGCTAAGCTGAATTGTCTCCTCTATATCAAATCTTGTGTAATATAGGAATTCCGACATTCTACTCTAGGATTCAACGGCCTTCAAGGCACCCAAACAACAGCAATCCCACAACTTGGCAATGAAATGCAGAAGTGTGATGCAAAAAGGTTGAATGCAATGACTAGTTCGTGCATGGGTATAGATAAACCCACTTCAAACCTTTCTTAAAAAATCAATGTTTAAGCCAAGTTAAAAAGAAAAAATCAGGGTATGTTTAATTCTTTTACCCAAAATTAAAACCAATTTGAACATATTGGGTGGTCTAAACATTGAATTAGACCAGACCAGAATGGTCCAAAGTATTCATCTGCATCTGATTGGATTGGATCTGATCCATATGTAATGGACTCATGATCAGGTTGAACCAATATCCGGTCCATCGACAGCCCTACTTACAGATATCGTCAATTTCATTGCAGCTGCCAGCTGCTGCCACCATCAACCTTACCAGAAAATTAACTAATTGCCATGTCCATGCGGAATTGATAATGACTGAGTTTTAGTCAACTAAATTAATTCCTGATATTAATATCCCAAAATCGGGAGCAACCCATCCAGCCAATTCAGAATTCAAGCGCAGAAAATAACTACAATAGTTGCATCGATTTAGAGAGGGAGAGGAGTAACTACATACAATCAAGGATTGAAGTATTGATGCGATAAGACCTACATCTACAAAGGATCTCAATCTCTCATACCTCTTCTGGAACCGTCTTATTATAATAGTATAAAAATAATAAAAAAAACAAATAAAAAAGAATATCAATCCATATTGATACACACTGAATGAGATCATCGTATCGGAGCATATTAATATTTTAATCCTTGCATGGATTGCATGTTTGGTAAAATTCTGCATGCAACTGCTGTCAAGCCCAGGTAGATAAAAACAGTATCATCATCCACACCTCTGCTTGATGATGGCCAGCGGAGTAATGAGAAGATCTTATAGGGAGATGGTAGAGGCTCAGCTTCTGTCATTGAGAAACGTAAAAAATTAGTTAGTGTGGCAAACATTGTTAGCTCCATTTCCATGTCTAGCTCTACTTATCAAATATATATATTACACTCAAAATTGGGGGGTAGGAGGGATCAACTGAAAGGGCTTCCACCAGAGTTCAACTATTCAACATACAGGAACGCTAGTACCAGATGTTGGCACAGCTCGAGTTACCTGACCAAAGAAGGTTCAGATTCTGCAAACGAAATCGGAAGTAAGGATTGACCAATTTGGTTCAAATCAAGCTGCAACAAGGAACCCTTTTCATTGTTTTCAAACACAAACAAGGCTCTCATTAGAATTAAAAGATCATCCATAAGGCAAAAGATAAATAATTGAATTATTAGAATAATATTAGAATGTTGAAATGGTTCAAAAACAATGGAATAAGGGCCATGTAATATAACAACCCATGGCCCTGTATTGTATCATTATATTTAGAAGTTTTCTTAGCATGACATGAACCATGTCAATCTTTCTGGGAAAATGGTCTAGGAGCAATAAAAATTCCAAATCAGGTAACAGCGACCAAGCAATAACACCAGCAAAAATGTCAGCCTTTCTAATAGTTCTAGGTCTTAAAGCAATGTAAAAATAAATTAAAAAAAAAAAAGTGACATGAGAACTTTTTTAATGGCTTCATCCAAGATACAATCAGGACATCTTTGCTAATTAATTTCTTGAAGGGTGACAAGGGCTATGGAAAATATGCGTGCTGTACTGAGGTGAGACATGTAGAAGATCATTTGCTGCCTGACTGCCAATTAATTTAACAATCATGAAGGAAGTGCAGATTGAGATGCCCTCATTTCCATGGTTTTGGCCCGTAACCTCTCCATGAATTCTGGATTGGCTCTGAGTCTCTCCTTGACATACAAGGCTCGAGTCTCCTCCACCAGCTTATCTGCTTTCGCTGCCTCCTCAATCAAGGCAAGTAGTGTTCTCAAACAATCCTTCCTATTTTCCTCACGATGCTCAAACCTGAAAACAATTATAAATGAAAATGGTAATGGTAAACTATCTTGTCCCTGTTGCATGGAGTATGTAAACTATCCACACAAAGCACAGTAGGAAAGGAAAAATGGCAACAAATATACATTTTCCTCAAAATTGATACAATAACATCAATTCCAACGTTTCATACAAGAATTCCACTTTTCATTCTTGTTTCTTGCTCCTATTTCTGTTTTCCACCATTAAGGTAAAAAAAAAAAAAGGACCTCAATATCAATTTGAGAAAGAAGGAAAAAGAGAATTGCAAACTAGTCATGCTTGAAGAGAAACCCTCTGACAGAACTAGATTGTAGTTGGGCACAAATAGCAATGACATAAGTGGTGCAAAAAAAATTCCACAATGCCATTTTTCTTAGCTTTAAGCGGAAAGGGTTCCATAATATGTTTCATGTTTCTTACACTTGGACCAACAATCAAGAGCAGCCTTCTCTGGTAAGGCTGGACATATTTGTTATTTCCTCTGAATGGGAAAACTTTTTTTTCCCAATTCTATTCAAGAAGCCCTTCCAAGACCTGTGTCAGATCATGTGTCCCTGCAGAAGACAGGCACAACCTTTCAGATTGTAACATTGTTGGTTGAGGGTGGAGTTTGACTCCAACATAAAGAAGTGGTGGTCTGAAGCTTCTTTTGATGGCACCACAAGTCATGTCCTGAGCAAGAAGCTTCACAATCCGTTTGGTTGCTAAGGGATGGGATGAGAAGGGAAAATTTATTCTCATTTTGGCATTCTGGTGTTTGATTGCTGAGAAGGGAAAATTACTGTTCATCGTCTTCCTTCAAACTCAAACCAGTGGCGTGGACGAGGTGAGTTCCAATCTCCCCCTCATCTCTCTCTCTCCTTTTTCCTCCTCTCCCTCTTTCTTTTTTTTTCCTCTTCATCTTTTTCTTCGCTTGCCACTGCTACTTGAACCGGAAACTGTGAGCATGAATGCGAAGAAGATAACAAATCCCATGAACGAGCATGACTGGACAAGCAAGCTGAAAGAGAAAAAGCTTGCTGCGACATGAATACTCTTTTACCAAAACCCTCACAAGGCTCAGCTATTGTTTGACAGAGGGTTTTGCGCTGGCATGGACTGTTGTGAGCAGAAAAGGCTTGTTGCATGCGAAGAATGTCAAAGAAATACAAGAGGAAGTACGTAGAAAGGAAGGTCTGGAGGAGGCTGCTGCGTGTGTGGTTTCCTTTCTCACTCGGGTCGCATTGTTTCAGTGCGACCCCACGTTCCAAGTTTTGGGAAACAGCGCCACACTATTTCTCGCACCATTCCATCAAACAAACATGGGTTCCAAAGAATCTAACCCGAATATTCCATATTTCTCATCCGCGTTGCATCAACCAAACAGACTGTCAATGGCTTAAAGGAAAGATCAAGTTTGGACATAAGGAGAGATCAAGAGCCAATGAGATCGAAAAAGCTGAATGCCTAAAGACTATTGTTGATTTGGATTTAGAAGAGGAAGTGGGACCTCTGGGGGAGGACCTAAGGCAAAAGAGGTTGTTTGCTAAGAGGGATTATGATGTTTTGGCTTTTCAGGAGGTTAACCAAGTGGTTGAAAGCAGGTGACACCGATACAGCTTTCTTTTCACAAAACTGCCAATGCATAGAGAAGAGCCAATTCTATCAAGAGGCTGTTTCTTGATGGTCAGGTGATCGAAAAAGGAGGAGTTGAAAAGGCTATTGTTAGCTTCTACAATAACTTATACAAGGAGCCTTGTAAATTTAGGCCGAAGTTAGAAGGATTGCATTTAATTTGTCTTTCAGGGCAAGAAGTTGAGGAGCTTGAAAAACCCTTTACAAAGGATGATGTCAAGAAAGCTGTGGATGAGTTGGAAGGGGAGAAAGGCCCTGGATCTGACAGTTTCACCATCTTGTTCTACAAAATATATAGGAAATCATTAAACAAGATTTAGTGAAAGTTTTCGAGAGTTCAGCTGCTCTTGAGAGAAGCCTCAATGCAACTTTTTTCTCCTTGGTTCCCAAGAATGGAGCTGCAGAGCTGAAAGATATCAGGCCCATCAGTTTGATTGGAAATGTGTACAAGAATCTGGCTGAAGTGCTGGCTAGGAGGGTTATGAGTTCTGTCATTTCCATCTTTCAAGGTGCTTTTGTTTGCAACAAGCACATCCAGTGATCTTATAGCCAATAAGCTTATTGATTCAAGGTCTAGGAGTGGCAGGAATTGTTTGGTGTGTAAAGTCGATCTAGTGATGGCTTATGATCACATAAACTGGGCCTTTCTAGATTACACGTTGAACAAATTACACTTTGGCCAGAAGTGGAGGAACCGGATTACACTGTCAATCCTTGTTACTGGAGCAGCCAAAGGCAAGTTCAAAAGTTTGGCTTAGACAAGGTGACACTGTCACCCTTACTGTTTTTGATAGTAATGGAGGGCTTGAGTAAAATGACCGAGAAGCCTCAGAGCTAGGTCTTGTTAAAGGCTTTGAGGTTTGTCCTGGCGGTTCAAAGGTCATTTGCAGCTTTCTGATGACGCTCTTTTTTTTTGTGAGGCTTCACCGGACCAAGTTCTTAATCTCCGGTTCTTGTTTTGCTGGTTTGAAGTGGTTTTAGGTTTGAAAGTCTTCTAAAAGTGAGATGATAAGAGTTGGGGATGTTCTGAATTTGCAAGACTTGGCTGAAATTTTGGGGGTGCAAAACAGGCAGTTTTCCTTCCAAGTATCTGGGTCTTCGCTTTGGGGCAAAGTGCAATTCAACCAGTATTTGGAATCCTACTTTGGAGAAAGTTGACAAGAAATTAGCTTCTTGGAAAGCCAGATATCTGTCCAAATGGGGTAAGCTAGTTTTAGTAAAAAGTGTCCTGGCCAACCTTCCTGCTTATTTCATGTCTCTCTTTTTAATGCCCTCTGAAGTGGCTTTGAAATACGAAAAAAGAAAAAACAGACGAGGGATTTTCTGTGGCTAGAGTGGAAGGATTCTTCTAAATATCACTTGGTTAACTGGGATGAGATCTGTAAACCTATCTCTCAAGGACTGGGGGATTAGAAAAGTGAAACTGTTTAATTTAGCACTTTTGGGGAGTTGTTTCTGAGATTCTCTAATGAACCTCAGGAATTATGGAGAGTTTTAATTTCTGAAAAATATGGCTTCAATGATAGTGGGTGGGACGCAGATGGTTCACCTCTGCCTTATGGGTGTAGCATCTGGAAAGGCATCTACAGAACTTACCCTCACTTCATCAAGGGCATTTCTTATAAAGTTGAAAATGGAAGAAGATTGAAGTTCTGGTTGGACCCTTGGTGTCGTGATACTGCTTTAAAAGAGAGGATTCATTCTTTGTTTGTTGTGGCTGAAGATATTCAGATTTCTGTTGCCGATTGACTTGCACAAGAGGGAAATAGCTTAGTCTGGTTCCCTATTTTCGGAAGGAATTTTTTTTAGAAGAGTTATATTCCATTAATTCAAAGATCAGTTACATGAAAATCCCCTTAGAGAGGCACGAGGTGCTGCCTCTCCATACAGAAAACACAAAAACTACATCAAAAAGTGCATGACTGTTTAAAAGACACAAATTTTACAGTTGCGCCCAGAACAATGTTTCCCTATTTGTACCTTGTTTTGCCAAGACATCAGCAAATGCATTAGCTGATCTCCCAACCCACTGTACTGTTACAGACATATTCCTTGTCAGCCATTTGAATTTCTTTATCTCATTCTTGTAGTCCCACATAACATCCTCTGGATTATTTAACCAGTAGAGTTCCCAACACCCATTTCTTTTGCAAGAATTATCCTTGTATTGCATCTAACAGCTCTGCTCGAAAAGAGTTCCCAACACATAAAGGGCCAGAGTATAGTAAGACAGCCTCTCCAGCCTCTTTCCTCAGTACACCTCCCAAACCAGAGGGACCCGGGTTGCCCTGGCTACTTCCATCAAAATTCAGCTTCAAAGAACCGTGAGGAGGGGGGACCCAGCTTGTCATTACCTTTATCTTTGAGGACGAACAACTTGCTACTGATAACCAATCCCTCCAACAATCAGTAAAGGAGAAATGATCAAACAAATCCAAAGTCTTTAACCAATGTATTGCCCTATACAAAATGCAGTCCTTCAAGGCTTGACTGCTTCTCCCCTTTTCCTGGAAGATCCTAACATTCCTTTCTTCCCAAATTGTCCATAAAAAGGCTGCCCATGCACACCTCCACATTTTCCTTCCTCTTTTATGGGGCCAATAGAACATAAAAGGGTTAAAGATTGTACTTACTTCTATTGGCATATCCCATCTACACCCAAACAATGATAGAAGCCAAACCCAGAGCTCTACGGTGACACTACAAGATAAAAATAAGTGATAACAGTCCTCACCGTGAGATCTGCAAAGAGTGCACCAGTTTGGAGAAATACATAGGAAGGGTCTTCTCTTTTGTAAGTTATCCGCCATGCTTACTTTACCATGTCACACTTCCCAACACAAAGCCATAACCTTGGGGGGAACCAGTCTACACCAGACTTCTTTGGAAGAGAAACTTTGCTGAGAGGAGGTTTGGCACAGGAAATTAAAAAAGGAACCACAAGAAAATGACCCATTAGGGTGAATGGCCAAATCCTTTTATTAGGCTTCAAAGGATCCAACCAAACCTTATCGTGGAGACCAAGAGTAGTAGACAAACAATCAACTTCATCCTCCCTTAACCCTTTACAGAAACCAAAGTCCCAAGACAAAGACAACAAATTTAAAATTGAAGTAAGGACTTTTGAAATCACCTCTTTTTTATACAAAGAAATAGAGTACAAGGATGGAAAGAGGCCTTTTAGGGGAAGATCTCCAGCCCAAATGTCCTTCCAAAACCGAATAGAGTTACCAGAACAAGCATTATACCTGATACAACTGAGGAACTGCGAAAGAATTTTGTGAATTGCTTTCCAAGGTGTTGCTAGGTTAGCCCTCCTTGAAGCACCAGCATCTCATCCACTCTCTGAGCATCCATGAAGACTCTTCACCACTTCATGCCACAACCTATCTCGCTCCATAGGCCACCTCCACAACCACTTCCTTAACAATGCTGAATTCTTTTTAAGCACATTCCCAAGCCCTAATCCTCATTCCTCTTTGCTTCTACCCACAACCTACCAACTGATTAAGTGGTCTTTTTTCCCTTCTCCCAGTTCTCAAAGAAAATCTCTCATTAATTTTTCCAGTTTCTTCGCTTCCCTAGATGGTATCCTAAAGACAGAAAGGTAGTAAGTAGGTAAGTTCACAAGGGTAGCTCTTATCAAAGTGATCCTCCCACCCAAAGAGATGTAATTTTTCTTCCACACAGCTAATCTCTTTTCAAACTTCTCTATAACCGTGGTCCAGAACCTACTCTACCTAGGGTTTACCCCTAACGGCAGACCTAAATAGGACAAAGGCCAAGTAGAAATTGAACACTGAAGACAATCTGCAATAGCCTCAACCTCCTCAAAGTCTAGATTGACTCCAGCAATGCAGTTCTTTTCTAAATTGATTTTCAAACCGGACACTCCTTCAAAGGCTTTAATCATTTCTTTCAAGTTTCCCACCTTCTCACTAAAACCACCACCACAGAAGATCATCGAGTCATCTGCAAACTGCAAATGAGTTACTAGAATTTGGTTTGTGCCTAGTCTCCATCCCTTTATCACATCTTCCCTATCATCCCTAGTGATAATTCGACTGAACACATCAACTACCAAGGTAAAGAGAAAAGGTGAAAGTGGATCCCCTTGTCTAATACCCCTACTAGTTGGAAAAAAATCCCTTACCACTCCATTTACTAGGATGTAGTGACAAGAACTGACACAACCAAACATCCAACCACACCATCTTTCCCCGAACCCACACTTCCTCAAAACCTCTACTAGGAACTACCGTCAGAAGGAATTTTAATGACTGGGAGTTGGATCAGGTGGTAGAACTCCTTTGTTTACTTCAGAATTTGAGAATCAGCACCAGACCTGCAATCTGAGGATTCTAGATGCTGGAAATGGGCAAAAGCTTGTAGCTTTTCAGTCAAATCTTTCTATCTGGGGCTCCTTGGAGACGATCAGCAGCCTTTCCCTTTCAAGGCCACTTGGAAAGTATTAGCTCCCCTAAAAGTCAAATTCTTTTTATGGATGGTTGCAAAGGAGAAGTGCCTCACCAAGGAAATGTTGTTGAGGAAAGGTTTCACCTTGACAAACTTGTTTTTCTCTTTGTACAATTTGTATTCTGAGTCTTCAAATAACCTGTTCATTCACTGTAATTTTGTGGCAGTGGTGTGGTAGCATTTTCTCAGAGCAGTCAATCTGAGCTGGTGCTGGCTGGAGTCAGTCTCTTCCCTGTTATCTGGGTCAATATCCCAAGCATGTCAAAAGAAGGAAAGCAGGTGTGGACTCTATTATACTCTGCAGTTTTGTGGGCAATCTGGTTGGAAAGGAACAATCGGGTAATTAATTTCATAGTGGAAGAGCTGAGGAGCTGATTATCAATGTCTAATGATTTTAGATATGCTTTTTGTTCTGGTTCTGTTTTGAGGGTGGACGCCTTTGGGGGGTCATAATTATGGTCCATTTGTACAGCCTCTCTTTGTACAGGACTTTATACTGTTGATAATAATATAAGGCTTTACCTCTTAAAAAAAAATGTTTCATGTTTCATTTCCATATTCATTATTACCATATATTGGTATTAGGGCACAATGAACATCTAAATAGGTTGAGTTTAATTATCCTAAACAGGATTGCATGGACACAGACATGAGAATCAGGACCAAATACATGTGCAAGAGTCCGACTTGGCAAGACGAAAAAACAAAGACTCACAGAGACAAACTGATATTTTTTTGAAAAGTAAATAAAAAATTATTTAAGCAAAAAAAAAAGAAATACAAAGTAAGGTGTTAAACAATCATCCAAGAGAGAATACAACCCAACTATAAACCCCATTAACGACTCCCATAAACTACCTCTCAACATCACAAGAATTGGCCCTTACTACGTAACACCCCAACAAAAACCAAACTAGATTAACATAAACTCACAAACATGGCAAAAGCTTACCTGAATTCCTCACATCACCAAAAAAATCCAAATACAACACTAGAGATCCCTATCATAGTACCACAAGCCAAACCCAAACCAGTTGATTGTTGTGATTACTTCAAGGCTTTAGATCCTTGAATGATGTCATCTTTTATTTATATGACACATAAACACATACAAATTATTAATTATTAAAATGCTCCATATTTTGTTGAATTTTAACACTAAAAACCTATAAAGCACATTTCGAAGATTAGCTTTGTTACTTATTATCACTTTGTAGGAGAAAATGGCATTCAATATGTGCATTAGATGTTCATTTAGCAATGAGATAAAGAAAAATGCCACGTATAAGTGTTCCTCAAGAGTCCATGAAGTGTCAGACTCCAGCACACTGGCACTTCATCTGTTTCGGTCAGTCCATGCAACTCTGGTTAATAACATTTTCTGGTCCTAAATCATTTTTGCAAGAAAAATAAACAGTGCACATAACTTACCTCTCACTGGTAATTGTAAGTTCATCTTTCCCAGGATGGTAACGTTTTCCAACTAATTCTCTTAACCGCCGAAATGCATGCTTTGAAAGCCCAAGCTCTTTTACAGTGACAGAAAGTTTCACTTTTCTGTTTTTGGGGTGCCATGCATCACCACCAGGAGCAAAGACAACCCTTGTTTGCCACCTCAGAACTGGCCCCTCACCAGGTGGGTCATCAAGGTCCTTTTTCTTGTCTGGCACAGCATCATCAAACTGTGGGGGTCCTTCTGCCTCCATCATCTTTGCACATTCCAGAACCATCTTATCCTCGAATTCCTTGAACATCTGGTAAGCTTCTTCAGGTTCAAGCTCTCCCCTTTCACACATATCCCCAAGCTCATTAAACTTTCCTTCCACTTTTTGTTTTACTTCATCTGAAATCATGGAAAACATAAAAAATCAGTTATGCAGCTCCCAAGAATACATCAAAGAAAAAAGCGCACGCCAAACTGAAGTTAGATAAGGTGCCAAGACAAAATTGTTTGATTGAGATTTGGAGCATGACATAGAATTTATTATATGAACACAAAACAATTTTAATCACCATATATGCATGTTCTAGAGACTCAGGTTCAGGAAATTCGCAAAAATATGGAATACACAAACTTAGGAATACAATCACATCCAAATGGAAAGAAATGTTACATTTTAATATAGAGATTCCATTAATAACTTGAACAGGACAGAAAATAGCATACAGCACTGTAGAAGGAAATTTCAAGGTTTTCTTCAATTTTCTCAATGATGGTGATGCAAGGATTATTTGGGTTTGAGGTAGTCACTTATACATCATGCATGAAAGCGTCTGTACGGTCAACCACAAAACATGTCACTCAAATGAAACACTGCCCACACATCAAGCAGTAATACACATCATTTTTTGAAACCACCTGCACTTGTCCAATTTTATAACTTTTTTTTTTTTTGATCAATAACACTTTCATTAATTCATCAGTAGAAAATTTACAAGTGGAAGACAAACACACTTATCTTCCAAGAGTCACAAAGAACTTCAAGAAAGGAAAGAAGAAAATATAAAGATACAAGGACACTAACATTACAACTTAGCCCAAAACAAGGAATCCCTTTC